AAAAAACCCCACAATTATTTAAGCAGGTTTTCTCATTCATTTCTGAGTGTGTCAAAAAAATTGCAGCAGAAAGATAGGTAAGTTCTCTTCCCTGGGGAGAAGAAGTAAGTGGAAAAAAAGAAAAAAAAAAGGCAGAGGGCAGGAGATAACTAGTTGCAAAATGAAAAGAGGACGAAAGAAGAAAATAATTTCCCTTCTTTTACGTTTAGGTAGATACTTTGTGTCATATTTTCATACGATATTTTTCCACTAGTCTCTGGAAACTGTGAGATTTTAAAGCTACTTTCTGCTACTTTTTGGCTATTTGGAGCTATTGATAGCAGCTGACAAGTGACAACTCTAGCAGGTGCATTTAACAGGTAAGCGTTGACAGGTGACAGCACGTGACGACAACTCCGCAGGGAGCTATGCCTTACAAAGTACAGCTGCACACCACTTTTGTACCAACGCATCGTTTGAGTCGTCTCAAAGCTGTCCTGGTAGAACTGCTTCTAAAAAACTGTCTTCAGCGCATAAGCAGTAATCCTTAGCAATTCATATACGGTCATTAAAAATTGAAATTTCCCCATCGCGCAGGGTCTTGCAGGTCCTTCATATGCCTAAGGCGGAAAAACTTTCCTGTAGGATAAAAAAGATCCTCTTTTGTGGTGACTCCAGGCTTGGAGCACCTCTCTTGCTATCTTTAGTTAGGAATGAGTATATCCAGTGGCTAGAGCCAAGGCTTGTGAATGAGGCTCCTCGGTTCTGTTGCTGGCTCTGCTTGCAGTCATGTCACTGAACTCGTGCTCCTCACCCAACTACGCTGTACGGCACAACGTACTCACCTCCTTGACAGGGGAGCAGGAGGCTTTGATAAGGCGCTTGTGAGCACTGACTGCCGTGTGATCCTCTGATGAAAGGGTCTGTAGAAATTCAGAGCTATAGCAGTACTAAAATGAACTGTTTAATAACAAAGTCTGACTCTAAGAGAATCAATCTAACACTCCCTCTTTTCTTTGTGAGTGTTTCCAGGTCAGGATTGTTCACGTCTTTGCTTTATCTTTAGAAGATGAACTCTTTCTTTTTAGGTCTTGCCAGGAGATAAGGCAAACTTGCTTTGAGAGAAGAGGTACTTAAAAAAAAAAAAAAGTAGTTGAACTTTTTCTGTACGCTTTAAGGGTATGTCTGCAGCAAAGATAACCAACCTGACACAGCCATATGGTGGGAAACGAAGTGTGTGTTATTTTAAAACTCTCCCTCCCATATACTCAATTTAGATGACAATTTCTTGACTCACTAATAGGTTTCCTGCTTGTTTCTCTCACTTTGGGTAATGTTAGTGGTATGTGGAGAAAAGAAGCAATCAAAGGCTTGATGAATTCAATTTGCTAAAATGTATGCTGATGGCCTCCATGAAACAAAAGTGTCAGGGAGAACAGCGATGTTTGGTGACAGTTGTTTATGACCAAAGGACATGAATGAATGCAGAAGAGATCTGGCTGGGAACTGTGGCTGTAATTAAGGCTTAGAGAGAACGTCTGTAGGATACCAGTGTCAGAATAAATTAAAACTTTCAGGATTAGCTGGAACATCAGGATATTGCCGGAAATCTGGTACCGATTGTTACTGCAATTTTTCTTTTCATCCCTCATTTTCTTGCTTTAGGCCTAGGAGGTTCTTTGATTTTTAGTTCTTAGTTTGGTTAGGTAGAGATCTGTGTACAACTTCCAGTTGCCTCTTGGACAGAACTCACATGTAATTAAAACATCTAGACATACGTCT